TCCACGGTAAGCGTCTCATCCTTTTTTAGCATGTCCACGGTAGGCGTCTCAAACACTTCTTGGCATGTTGACAGGACTTTTAGTATGTTGACGGGTGGCGTCCCTCTACCCTCAACACCTCAACCCCTAACCCTAAACCCTTTAACCCCTAAGCCCTAAACCGAACCAAAGCTATAGAAGCCTATCAGCTCTATGCCCTTCCACGCCGAACACCAGAGCTCCCACCCTCACAGCATTATAGAGAAGCGTGTGCAGAGTCGGGATCCCTGTCGACAAAGATTTACAACATGCATGAGCATATGGGGCTTCTAAGGTCTATCTGTCTGCCCGTGTGTCTGTGTGTCTGCGTGTCTGTGTGTCTGTGTGTCTGTGTGTCTGTCTGTCTGTCTGTCTGTCTGTCTGTCCGTCTGTCTGTTTGTCTGTCTGTCTGTCCGTCGGTCTGTCTGTCTGTCTTTGTGTCTGTTGAGCTACCTACTTCTATCTAATATGGGAACCTGATTAAGAAACCTTGGGTCCTTATTATCAGGGTTCTATACATAAATCCTAATAGTTTTGGGGGTTCAAAGGGCCAGGGGCTTCTTAATCAGGGTTCCTACATTATCTACCCACCAACTTCGAGGATTCAGAGAAATTGGGCTTTTGGGGTCTTTGGCTTTAGGGCTCGGGGCGCTTTTGGACTTCGAGGCTGTGGCAGCGATCCCGAGCTGTCGGAAAGCGCTGCGGAGAGATCTATGAGACCGGAGCTGCCGGGGCCTCGGTCGGGGCGACAGCTTTGCTTCGGGGGGGTGGTTTTAGGGCTGCTTAGGGCTTAGGTTTGAGTTTTGGGGGTAGGGTTTATGGCGATTTTCAGGGCTCAGGGTGTAGGGCTGCGCGGTATGGGTTTGTTCAGGGCTTTGCAAGTGCTGAGCGTTTCGGCTTCAGGACTTTATGAGGTTTCGGATGCAGGAATTATGATTCAGTGGCTAGATGTCTAGGCCGTTTAGGTTCTTCTTTTCCTAGGCTTTTAGACTTTCGAGTTTAGGGCAGTTCATGTTTTCCCTGAATTCCTGCACAAAAAGGCCTCGAGGTCTTTCTGTGCCTGCCCTAAACCCCGAAACCCTAAACCCTAAAAGCCCCTAAAACCCTAAACCCTAAGCATGTTGCTCTTTCTGAACTGGACATGCCGACTGCACGGAGTTCGACCTGATGTTCCTTACGCAGACTCTGCCTCAAGCCCGCTAACTGCTTAGGTAGGGGCTTTAATAATTCGAAAAGGGTTTTGGGGTATAACATATATATATATATATATTTATATACATACACTTTAGTTTTTAGAAGGAACCCACCCAAAAAATAGTGTTGGTAATTATATTTAAGCCCCTATAGTATCTGCTAACTTGGGAGACTCTGAGTCTCTGAGAACCCACGCATTCAAGCACAGAGTGTGAGTTTAGGGTTTAGGGTCTAGGGTTTAGGGTTTAGTCTAAACAGCCATGTTGCGAGGGCTCCTATCAGCCATGGGGACTCCTACTGTTGAAACCGGAAGTCCAATCTTGGCATTGGAGAGGGCTCTTGGACTCCATGACTGGTTCCCTGTTGGGGCTTTATAAAGAATGATCGTTTTTGATCTTGATTATTGGGTTTTATGAAACGGTTTTATTACTGCAAAATGTGAAGTGTATCCAACAAGGACCCGGATGAAGCACAGCCCTTCCACCTGCTCTGCCTGTTGGGTCTAGGACCTTTGCGCGTTGGGCGCTTTTTTTGAGCGTGGCCTGTGCACCGTGGCCTGTGCTCCGAAACACTGCTTGCGAGAATGAGCCATGTCGAGTTGATTGCCAGCAAAGATGCAGCCACAAACCCAGCACCCGGAGCATGCGAGTTTTTTACGGGCTCCAATGCACGAACTAGGAATGAACCATGTCGCAGCCAAAGACTTTGGACCATCAGCTAACCTACATTGCTCGTCTTGGCCCGGCACGCTGTGGCCACTGGCGCGAGTCCGGTTCCCATTTGCTCAGAAACTTCCATCGGCACTCATCTGAGTATTGAAATCGACGAGTGGGACGATGTGTGCTACAGTAATGAGCAGCTTGCTGAAGCTTCTTGACCTCGCAGCTGCTCGCAAAGCTCTGCGCTTCCAATGACGGACTGCAACAAATAGCAGTCATCCCCGTTTCCAACCTGACATCCAAGCAACATTCAGGGTTGAGGGGCTGAGAAGTAGGCTGCAATTTCACCCAGTGCTGATTTTAAGCCTCCGAACTAAATTCCGTGCACAGTGCAGATCGAGTCTGTAGAGTACAGTTGTTTGAGAAAGCAATACTCATGGTGCGTAGATTGTGTGGAAGCATTTGCACTAAACTTGCCTGAAAGGCCAAACCCTAAACCTGCGAAGTCTGGTCTTTGACACCCGAAACCTGCAAATAGGCATCCCTACCCATAGGCTCCAAAGTAGTTCCTTTTTGTGGTTTATCTTTAGGATCCTATAAGGTAACCCCCAAAAGGAACTACTTTAGAGCCTATGGGTAAAGCATTTAGCCTACTGAACCAAAACCAGCTTACCTCTCCCCCCCCCTCCCCGCCCCAACATCAGCGTTGAAGGCTGCTGACTTGCATCGGTTTAGGGTTTAGGGTTTAGGCCAAGATTCCCTCACACCCACCACTCGCTGTGTGGATGCGTGAACGAGGACCCTTGTGGACTCCGCATGCTGGAGGAATCCCTCCTCTGACCTTGACATGAAGGTCCAAAGGTATTATTATTGTTACTATATAATTATATTTTGGAACTTATTACTATATTCCATCCTTTTTTTACTTTAATTTCGGGCATAGGAGTTTGATGGTTTAGGTGGGGCCCAAGTCTTCGAACTGTACACTTCACTAGTGCCTTGGGGGTTAGGGTTTGGGGGTTTTCGGGTCTATTGCTTTGGGGTTTATGGGGTCGGGTGTTTCGGTTATGACACATGGGAACGCTAGGCCGCTAGGACTAGCGGTGAGAGCTTCGGCGATGTCAGGGTTTGGGGATTTCGGGATTAGGCTTCGGGTGTAGAGCGGCTTGCCCTTCTCTGGGGTTGAGGGTTTGGTGCTTACTAATTACTAATGAAGCTTCGGGATTGTGCCGCTGATGTTCTTCAATTGGTGGGCAAGGGGCGTCAGCGGACCAAAGGCTTTGAGCTTCCGATCCGCCGCGGCGTCGCCGTCCGCGGTGAGTAGGTAGCAGCAGTCAGGCCAGTGCGCATAGGTAAACTTCTCCTGCCCGAACAGCGAATAAACGAAAACCCTGAGAGAAAAAGCGCGAGACCTTGACAAGGGGAGCCATCACGAGCTAAATCCTCGAAACCCTGAATCCGCTAGACGTCTATTATAAACTGTATCCTCTTACTCGTCGGGAGCTTCTGTACCCGAGCCCCCGACACCGAAATGGCCAAAGCCCTTGCGCCTCCAGCCCTACACTTCTAACATACCGGGGCATTATTCGAATATAGTGTTGGGGCATACTTATATGTTAGAACTATAATACACGGACCCCTTAAGGGGAGCAACATTGCTAGACGATTCAGGCTTCTACACGACGCCTAGGCTCCTAAGTAGTTCCTTTTTGGGATTACCTTATAGGATTCTATAAACTCTACAAAAAACCAGAAAAAGGAACTACTTTGGAGCCTATGGGTACGTCCGAGGAGCCCAGCGGAAGCCCTCCGCCGCAGTCTCCGCGCCAGGCGGATCGGGAAGGTCGCGGCGGCGTGCCAAGATCCACTCGCCCAGGTCATCGGGGTTGTAGCCCTTCCTTTGGGGAGTTATAGGGGGGTTTAGGCCTAGAATCTAGAACTTCTGGCTTTAGGGGCATAAGGTTTCTAGGGTTTTCGGGTTAGGGCAGCCCTTCCTTTGGGGGATTTTGTGGGGTTTAGATCGAGGACATGGCTTTAGGGCTATCAGGCTTATAGGGTTCTGGGGTTGGGGTAGCCCTTCTGTCAGCCCTGGGATTGCCGGGGATTTAGGGGTCAGGTTTGGGCTGGAAGGGTTCCAGGCTACTCACTTGCAGAGAGCCGGGGTTCTGACGAAGGGACTTTGAGTTTATAGGGTCTAGGGTTTATAGGGTTATAGGGTTTATAGGGTTATAGGGTTTATAGGGTTGATAGGGGTTTAGGGTTTAGGGGTTTAGGGTTTAGGGTTGCTCTACTACATCTGCAGAGCTTGGACACCAAAACCCTGCAGCCACTCCGGCCTCAGAAGTTCTCAACAGCTCACTCCGCTCAGAACCCCAGGAGCCGATAAACCAAAATTCAAAACATAACACATGCACACTCAAACCTAAACACCACCTATAGTCTCCAGTGTAGTTCCCCTTTTGGCTTAGCCAGTTCTACATTCTGGATCCTATAATGGCAATCCCGAAACGAAACTACAATGGAGACTATAAGTGGCTTAGACACTAATAAAACCCAAAACCCGCACACCCTAAACACTATACCCTATATAGTTAGCACCCGAAAGACCGGAAACCTCGGAGAGTCACGCACTCCAAGCGTCAGGCCATTGTCGAAGCCGCCGCAGAGATGTGCGAACCCAAGGCTCTGGTAGATCTTCCTTGGAAATTAGGGTTATGTTCGCTGGGGTTATGTGTAAGTTTAGGGTTTATAGGGTCTAGAGATCTTCCATTTTATGGAATCTGAGGGAGCTCTCCGATTATAAACAGAGCATTGTTTAGGTTTAGGACTGAAGGGTATCTGGGGTGCAAGGCTTTTTTTTTGCTTGCTTTTTTGGGGGCTTCGGGTTGACAGGCGAAGAGCATGCAGGGCACAAGGGTTTAGGGTAGAAAGCTTTGGGCTTCAGGAACTTGGCGAAGGGCCTTGCGGCTTCATATGGGCTAATGTAAGGGCCTTAATAATTAGAATGGGGTTTTGGGGGTTCCTTACTATAATTATAGTATAGTATACCCCAAACCCTATTCTAATTATTAAGGTCCCTATATTAGGTTCTCGAACCCAACCTGCTCCTGCTTCTGTTCGCCACATCAACATGGATCATGCCCCTGCTTACGGTTGTCGTGACGTCCTTGGATCGGTCCGCTTTGTTCCATGCTTACCTACAGCCTCCTTTGTAGTTTCTTTCTTTGGCTTAACAAATCTCATGTTAAGGACCCCAAAAGGTAACCCCCCAAAAAAGAACTAGAATGGAGACGATAGGTACTATTCCAAACCGATACAAAACCAATATTCCACCGGGCTGTCTGGGAGCGCCTTATCCTTAACCCAGGGGTTGGGTCCAGAGGCCCCCTCTCCCAGGTTTCTCGGGGTGAGCGCCGACCTGAACATCCCGGGACTCCTATAAGAATATCGTCATTAAGGGTAAGCTCCTATAAAAATATAGTCATTAAGGGTAAGCTCCTATATGAACAGCGTCATTCTAAGGGTAACAGCAACAAGATCCCAGCTCAGCCTGGTGAAGTAGAAGTTGGGACCAGAATGGCAGCAAGACTACCAAGAAATTGCTGTACATGGCCGTCGGCTGCAGTGGCAACAGCCTTGAAACATTGTAGTATGAGTGGTATGTTGCAAGAGACGCAACTTCCCGGCAAAACCTCGCGTTCCAGCCCAGCTTCGCGGCAGCAGCACTGCCCGTGCCGAGAAGCAGCAAAGACCTTAGATGATGCTCTTGCAAGTAAAGTCGTCACACCCTGTATACTTAAGGCTGTGAGCCAAAGTCTTGTTGGATGATACTGTGGGCACATGTTTGCCTCTCTGCTACGAAGCTGTCAAATGAAAACGAATTCTTTAGAAGCAAATTGCCGCCAGCAGTACTAGCATTATCCTTGACGCTTCCAAGGACATCGACCCTGAAAAGTTAAAATCGGCTCCTCCACTCCTCCTGAACCATTGCAAACACACAAGGTGTTTGACAACGTCTTCGGGATTCCAACTTGCAGCCAGGAATGGAGCCACGGACAGGGTCCTTGTAGCCGACTTGTAGCCCAGAAGCCAGACATTCAAGCACTGCCCCACGAAACCCTAATTCCCTAAACAACCCGCAACCCAGTGTACACTGACTCTGCAGCCCAGATGCTTCGGGAACTTGGCATCCTGCTGTTGCATCACGTCTTCACAGACCTGATTCTGCAATGCCCCTCCAGGAGTTTAGGGGTGTTCCGATCCTCAACACGTAACCGGAAACATCACCTAGTTCAAGATGACCAGAAGGTTCTTCACAGCTCCCCCGTCCCTGACCATCATGACCCGATGAATCGCTGCTCCTCCCAACGGAACTAAGCTCGCATGCAGACTCGGTAGGCTCCTGGAAGTAGTTGAGCCCAGGCCCATGCTCTAAATGGTAGACCCAACATGAACCCAAAGGCCTGAAACATAGTCCCGCTGATGCCGCTGAAAGGTGGGGGTTTGGGGCTTGCGGGTTAGGCTTCCGTGATTCTTCAGTTGTTGTGGCTGCAGTTGCAGGTGTTGGCGATGGTAATGGTTTGGCTGATTCCTAAACTCTAAACCACCTAGGCAGAAATTCTGCAGTTTACGAATGAGCATGCTCGAAGTACATCTGAGCGGCTTTCCGGGCAAGACCTTTGCCCCGATGGTCCTTCATGGCCGTATACTAAGGCGTGTATGTGTGTGTATATATATGTATGTATGTATGTATGTATGTATGTATGTATGTATGTGTGTATATATATATATGTCTGTGTGTGGGTTTATCGGGTTCAGAACTTAGGGTTTCTTCAAGCAAGGTTTTCGACGGTGTAGGGTGCATGGTCGGTTTGTTGAGGATTAAAGGGGCTCGAGCCTCGATCGCAAGGAGAAGCCTGCATAAACCCCTGACCATATTCTCTCTTCTTCAACAACCAGGCCCAAAAAAGCTCAAACCATTTAGGATAGACATAATACATAAGGCCAAAAAGTTTAAAGTTCTCCCATTGGCTACCTAAGTATTGGCTTTGTGGACATCCGACAAAGTAGAAGTGGTATGTGGCAGTATCTTCTTCCTCAAACATCCACCAGTGACGCTGCGTAAGGTACGGTTCGCCAAATGCCTCCACTGTAAAAGTGCTGAAAGGCGGAAGCCCCGACACTCTAAGCCAAGCAACCCTGCACCCCCAAGAGTAAAAGAACGCCTACCCTAAACCCTAAACCCTAAACCCCTATATGGGCCCAGCCCCCGGTCCGGATGGGTGATCACGAAGCCGAAGAGACCCACCTGGCCCGGGACTTCTCAGTAGAGTGTGAGCATACCCATGGGCTCCATAAGAGCTCCTTTTTGGGATTACCTTATAGGATCCTAAAAAATTAAACCGCAAAAAAGGAACTGTAATGGAGCCTCTGGGTAAAGCGAGAACTCACAGGCCCCCTGTAAATGCTGATAAGGGTTCTTTTGGCTAAGACCCTAAACCCTAAACCTTGTTCTGTTGGCACCCTAAACCCTAAACCCTGAGGTGTAGGTTGGGAGACTTGTTTATCTTGTGGGTTCGGGGTGTAGCTAAAGGCTTTAGGTTTCAGGGGTTGGGCTTGAGGGCGCAGACTAAATTCGGCTGTACAGCCTCACCGGTAACCAGAGCCCTGAGGACCAAAGAAGAACCAAATGCCAAGATTGCAAGTATTATACTGTACGTACTATGCTATGCTATGCTATGCTATGCTATGCTATGCTACACTATGCTATACTATACTTTACTATTACTATGCTATGCTCGAATGTACTGCATACTATACCATGCTATATACTTTACTAGACTCTTACTCTTTCGGCATCTCCTGGCCTTGGATTTCACGTTGATCCAGACGTTGCAGTGCGCTGCAAAACCAGGCTGCGCGTCCGAAGAGGGAACGGCATAGCTGCCGAAGACCTCAGTTAGGGTGTAGGGGTTTAGGGGTTTAGGGGTTTAGGGTTTAGGCGCTTAGGGTTTAGGGGTTTAAGGGTTTAAGGTTTTATGGCTTAGGCTTTAGAGGTTTAGGGTCTAGGGGTTTATAGGGTATAGGGTTCAAGACCCAGGGCTCAGGGTCTAGGACTTGCAGTTTTTCGGTTTGCAGGGTTTTGGGTTTACCAGCACCCCCGAGTACCCTTCAATGGGGGCTTTAGGATCCTTAGTGAAAGGTACTTAGGATCCAAAAAGGGGGTAGTTGTGGGGGTTTTGCATGGTAGGGTTCATGAACTCATACTCATACCGGCATATCCCCTAAACCCTAAACCCTAAAGAGTCATATCTGCTAAGGGTTCCTAGGACTGCGGTGGTGCCGAAGGCTTGAGTGCGGAGCTTATGCGGTTCATGAACTCGGGGAGTAGAAGGTTGAGCTGTTTTGGGAAGCCGTGCCCTGTAGGATTCCATATATTAAAAACTGACCATGCCAATGTCTTGGGCTTAGACTAGCACAGAGTACATGAAGAGTGCAGAACTTTGTGAGCCGATATGATCTAAGCTATTGGGTCTCTGGCTGCATCTGCAACGACGCCAAGAATAAATATACATATATACATATATATATATATCTCATCTGATTTAGGTTTTATGGCTTCTAGATTCTAGGGTTTAGAGCTCGCGCGGGACTAGCTTTCGATAAGCTGAGCAACCCGAAACCCTTGTGTTGGGGCTCGGCACTGCGCAATCGCTGAAAGGATCCTCGGCAGCTCGCTCGGAGAAGAGAACTTTGCGCATCACCGGGCCAAAGTAGTTTGGGAAGTCTGGTCCTCAGAGGAATTCTGGGTAACCCCAAACCCCTAAACCCCTTAGCCCCTAAGCCCCCAACTAAACCCTGAACCATAAACCCTAAACCCTAAACCCTAAACCCCCAAACCCATAACTACTGCTTTAGGTGCTTCGGATGTCAGGGGCGTCTTTGGGTTCAGGGCCTTGGGCACGACAGGGTCTGGGACTCCTGGCTTGAGGTTTACCCCTAGGCTCCATCGTAGTTCCTTTTTTGGGGGGTTTAGGGTTTAGGGTTTAGTAGTTCCTTTTTTGGGGGGTTTATGTTTAGGATTCTATAACTTTACAGTAATCCCCCAAAAAGGAGCTACTATGGAGCCTATGGGCGGCATCGTGGGGTATGGGAGAGTTACATCAGGGGATGGGACTGAGGATTGCGAAGTGCAGCTCTCGAATTTCAGTGTAGACTTTGGTAGATGGCATCCCTGGCTCTATACCCAATATGACAGAAGTGGAAAACGCACATCTTGAGCTACATAGATCAGGCCACCCCCCCCCCGCGCAAGCTAAAGCAGCTGGCACATATTGCCGAGAATCCGAAAAGCTCCAAGAGACGCAGTAGCGGCTCCTCTCATGCGGCCAGCACAGGATGCTAAAATCCTACTGGATATATCCCTAAGCCCCCAGGTACCTACTATACAGGGTACTCGAGCCCCTAGGCCCTATATAGTAGGTATGGGGGGTTAGGGTATGGTTCTATATATGGGGTTTTACTAGATGTACGTCATTTCCAGGGTGTCAGAGTCAGAATCCTCTTCACGCTCAGCTTTCAGTCTACATACTGGGTTCTTGTTAAGGGATTTGATTTAAGTTACCATAATAAGGATCTATCGTAAATAATATGGTTTCCTTATTATGGTAACTTAAATTAAATCCCTCAACCTGAACCCAGCATACTTATACTGGGCTCCCCCGATGCTCCAAGTACCGCTGCAGCTCAAGCACCGGAGCCGGAGCTGAGGTCCAAGCATTACATGGCTAGTTCTCTAAGACAGGGTCCCTTGTTGGGCCCTTTCTTGAAAAGGGTGCGTTACTATTTTGGGAGCCTAGAGAGAGTACTTTCATTATTTCGGAGGCACAGGCCTTTCCCTTTGCAAGATTGGGCCGGGAGCAGGCTTCCGGATCCTTAACCATGCTGGACCAGTCATTTCAAAGGGCTTAGGGCTTGCGCACGTAATCAGGGACACAGGGGATGCATACCTATAGGCTCCCATTGTAGTTCCTTTCTGGGGGTCTATATATTTAGGATCCTATAAGGGTAATCCCAAAAAGGAACTACTATGGAGCCTGTGGGTGCTGAATGCTGAGATGTTTGCAGGGTTTGGGGCTTTCGGAAGGCGGCTTCAGGCACCTCCAGCGTTGCAGGCAACGGCGGCGAAGAGCCGCTGTTGCGCCCGTATCTACGAAGCTCATATCCGGCCGACATCCCGCGATGGAGGGGGAGGGGCTATAGAGTTTGGGATTCGGGCAGTAGTTGGGCTTGGGGCTCAGAGTCCGTGCGAGTTTTTTGTTGCAGAACATGGCACAGAATAGCCAGCCTCAAGTGCCTTTCAGACGCCTGAGAATCGAAAGGCAGAGAAGTTTCGACGAGATTTCGTTCTTGGCGAGGCTGTATCCTTCATCGGTCTCGCTAGGGATTTTGAGATCCAGGGTGTATGGGCGTATGGCCATGCTGATTCAGAATTTGTACCATCATCTTACTATTTCATCTTCAAAGTCTATCCTTGACATGTTTCATGCTCTGTCGACGTGAGTGGTCGTAGAGATAGCATGGGCCATGGACGGAACACATCATTCCTCCTTGGAGACATTTAAGGCCATGGCGGCATACCAGCGACATGAGTTTGTTTGAGAAGCTGCGGCAGAGTCTGCAGCGTGACGTGTTCCCTAAACCCTAAACCCTAAACGTGCCCAGTGGCGAGGGCTTACCGTCAGGCTGTCTGGGATCTTGCGGCTGAGTGGGATTGCCCTGACTTGCAAAGCATCTCTGCGAAGCCACAGAACGTACATCCTCCTAGCCTCCCCACAAAAACACCCAAGCTACAAAATCTCCAACAATTATTGATAAACGTACAAGTACACAAGCACGAAAGCCCTAACATCAACCTGACATGGATCCATCTGCAAAGCTTGTCATGCCCGCCAGTATAGGCTAGCGGATCAAGTGAGACTCTGAGACACCAAAACATGCAAGTAATACTTCGGCCAAAGCTGATTCATGACCAAATGAGGTTTTGCCCTAAACCCTAAACCCTAAAGTTTAGGTCATGCCAACAAACTCCCATCAAGCCTTAAGCATGGAAGCTGCCAGGCACATGGGACTCACACCCTCATGGAGTCCCGCCGGGGCTGCGACACAAGTTGTGACAGGGTGGGGACCCTGGCTACCTTGGCTTTTTCGGAGGTTTAGGGTTCAGAAGGTAAATAACGGTTTGTGGCGTTATGTAGGGCCCAGGGTCTAGGGGGTTGGGTTATAGCGGCTATGGGGCTTGGTGTTGGGGTTCAGAGGATTTGGCTTTCTAATCGGGCTGTCTTGCATGCAAAGGCTCACAAATGCTTCCGGCTAGCAGCAGGAATGACAGGCTATCGTCCCGAGACCAATGATGAACAGTAATTAAGGTTATGTGGGAAGTTCTCTAAATTAAGGTCCCTTTTGGGTCCCCAACATAGTACGGCACCCTTATAATGAGGACCTTAAGAGGGACCCTAATATAGAGAACTACCCATGTGGAAGTCTGCCAGACGTCCGGAGTTGGTAGTATCGTAATCCAAGGTAAGTAATTGCAGTATGGGGGTGGCTTGCACCGTTAGAAGGTAGGGTCGTGGGTTTAGGGTTTAGGGGTTTAGGTGTTTAGGGGATTAGGGTTTAGGGTTCCCCTACACCCTAAACCCCTAAAACCCTCTAAACCCTCAACCATTTGCCGTAGCACTACATAGGCCATTCACGGAATGTTCTTGTATCAACTCTTCCGGGCAGCAGACTACTCGCAAAACCCCAACCCCAACGACCTAAAATCTTTGTGGTTGGTTGAAATCTAAATATATGAAAATATATTAATGAGGTTATGCTGTGAAAACTGAATGAATATAATAACTTGTATTTTCTCCGGCATTGCACAGCAGACGTCTGCCAGCAGCGAAACAGCAAGGTCTGATACCAGTGTCTTCAGGGAAGGGGAGTTCACTTGCACGGTGTTTAGGTCTACAGAGGCTTTGTGCCGAGTCACCGAAGCTGATGGAAACACAAACTCGACCCATTTATGACCAAACAAGTCTAGGGTTTGGGGTTTAGGGTCTAGACCCTCATAGCCCTAAAACCCACTTGCGGCCGCGATGCCACAGCTGAAGAGGGCTCGCAAAAGCCCGTCCTGCGACAAGTACCCTCAACACACAGTTGAATCCGCCTCCGGTAGAAACCTATCTCTACCCCTGGGCTCCATAGTAGTTCCTTTTTGGGGATTACCTTATAGGATCCTAAGTATAAACCACAAAAGGGAACTATAATGGAGCCTCTGGGTATACACGTGAGGCGCTTTGAGTACGGTTATAACACCCTTCCGAAATGCAACCTCAGGGCTGGCGACGACTAGAACATGCCTCCTAAATCAGGCCATTCAACAGAACAGCCAATGCTGATTTCAAGAGATTCAGAATCATAAAGGCAAACTTCAGGAATAGTGGTGCTGCAACGACTTCCCTTTATAAATCTCTATTGAGTTGGTGCCTATCCAACAGCGAAGCTGCCAGAGGGGCAACCGATTACTTCCCTGAGGGTGGCCCCCTTTTGGTTTTCCAAGATGGAAGGTCTAAGGGTGAGGCGAAACACCGCTACACTCTGACCAACCTCAACCCTAACAAACACCACAAAACACACTCAAACCATCTAAAACCCCAAACCCTGAAAGCGAACACCACAACAAAAGCCGTGCCAAGCCATCAAAGGTAACTTCCTGGCCTCCTCTTGGCAGCGGGAGCGGCAAGAACGGCAGGGGCAGTCGCCCCCACCGCCAGTCTCCTGTGTACTACCCGAGGCTTTATGCAAGGAGCCGTTCCGCATGTCGGGCTCAGGGATTTAAGGGTTGTGGCTTAAGGTGCGGGTCAGTGTTGGGGTTTGGGGCAGTTTGGGGCTGAGGGTTCCGGCTTGTTTGGTGGAGGGCGACCGGGATTGGGATGACCAAAGCAACAGTAGCAGGGATAAATAGCATCCAGGAAGCCATCCTCTTCATCCTCATCTTGTTTTCATCATTACCAGCATCTTCTTCTTCTGCATGTTATTGTCCGTTGTCTTCTTCACTGTCATGTCGGGGTCATACAAGAGAATTTGTGAGAACATTGACCAATGAGTGACATAAGCGCGTCTGCCACCACGAGGACGACATGCAATCATGCTCATTGTTTATTTTTTAGCACGGATGCACCGAAGGGAACATCTCTCCCTAAACCCTATAAACTCCGAAACCGAACGCCTTTCGAAGTTAAACTAGACTAAACCCAATGACCTCGAAACCCCATGCCGAGTCCGTCCTCTACACCTAGGACCTGCGAGAGCTTCTCGCACCAGTAGCTATCTGAAGCTCTTGCTTTGGGGCTTTAGGATGTATGAACCCTAGGCCCGAAACCCCTAAATCCCTAAACCC